TGGAGCAGCAGCACGCCCGGCAGGTCCTTCCCGAAGTCCAGGGAGGAGTAGAGCTGCTCCTGCTCCTTGATCCAGCTCTCTGCCTCGTCTAGCTCCCACAGGCAGGTCCAGAGGGAGCGGGATTGCTCCAACAAGGCTCTCCTCCGTGCCGCCAGTACCTGCAGCTCTCGCCGGCACATCTCCAGGTGGCTCACGCGGTCCCGGATGACTTTGGGGTCACAGGGACGATAGCCTGGGCAGGGAGCAGGGTGAGTGCTCGTCAGGACAGTGCCCTGCTTTCCCTTGGCCACGCCAGGGATGCAGGGGTGTCCTGGCACACCTACCCTCAGCGTCAGCAAAGCGGAGGGCGGCAGCGCTGATGGCCCGGGTCTTCTCTGCCTGTATAGCCATGTCGGCCTCCAGCAGACGGTGGGTCTGCAGCAGCTCCTCTGCTTCCAGAAGGTGCTTCCCAGATTCAGGAGATGCCAGTTTCACCTGCAGGAGACCCTCAGCTATTACCCACTGACACCCAAAACTCAGCACCAGCACCCCGACATCTCATCTCCCTCCCTGGTGAGCTCCCACCAACACCTGGTGGGACAAAGACACCTCACCCATGGTGACACTCAATGCCCACAGCTTACCTTGACCTCATCCATCCAGTCGATGCAATGGAGCATCTCCTGGAATAGGTGCTGCAGGGTGAGGTTCATCTCCAGGCGCTGGCGCCGGGCAGCCAGCAGCTCCAGGAGCTGCTCCCAGAGCCGCAGGATGTTGTCCTTCCGCCCGTTGATGCGCTGGATGTCGTGGTAGCCCTCCAGTTCCAGTTCCTTGGCCACTGCCTCGATGGCTTGCACCCTCTCCCTGTAGGCAGCTGTGTCTGTCTCAATGGCCTCGTGCTTCTTCTTGGCCGCTTCCACTGCCGCCAGGTCCTGCCCAAAGTTGTCCTGCCCGGCACAAAGCCCATGGTGAGGCTCTGGTGAGCTCCCCAGGGCAGAGGGTCCCTGGGATGGGTGGTGCCCCTCCTCACCTGGGCCACCAGGCGCTGGTTCTCGCTCAGCCAGGCCTCCCGCATGGCCGCTTTGCGGTCAAAGCGCCGTGCCAGCTGCTCCAGCTTCTCCTGACGGATCAGCTCGTTGCGCAGTGCCAGCTCCCGCTCATGCTCCGCTTTCTCCAGCTGCTCCCAGGCCTGGGGGAAGGCGGCACTGGACAGATGGCACATCCTCCATATCCCACATCCTCCCACCCACCTGTGTCTTGTTCTGCTGATGACCCCCAGGTGGAAGAACACAGCCTGCCATGGGATGGATCAGTCCTGTCCCAGTGTGGATTCTGCATGTCCTGGTGTGGACCTGAACTGCCTCAAGAGATGGACTTAACCTGCTCTGGGACCCATCCCAGCCTGCCCAAGGACCTGAACTGCTCAGGGATGGACCCAGTCTCCCCAGGAGAGGAGTTCAGTTTCCCCCAGGAGATGGACCTGACTCGACCCCAGGAGACAGCCCCAGCTACCACAGCAGACGGAGCCCGTACCCGGTTGATGTCAGAGACCAGGCGCCCCTCGTGTGGGGTGTAGACACGCTGGTTGTTGGCCCTCATCCGCGACTGGATGGTGAAGAGCAGCACCTCCAGGTTGCCCTTCTCCTGAAACCTGCCCAAGAGAGAGCTCAGTGTTGGGCACCCCTGGGTGCCCCACACCACCGTGCGGGCACGGGGAGCAGGGGGCTCTTACTTGGGGGGCTTCTCCACGGTGCGGTAGGTGCTGAAGGCTTGCAGCTGGTGCTGCACCCCAGCCAGGGAGTTGGCGAAGCTGCGGCTGTTAAGGGAGGCGATGGTCTGCTCAATCCACGTGAGCAGGTCGGACGCCAGCCCCCCATAGCCCTCGATCATCCGCTCCGTCTCCTTGGCGTGCTCGATGACCTGTGGTGGGACCAGGGGTGAGCATGAGGGGCTGGCACCCCAAGAGAACACCCCTGGCCACTTCAATGCCATTCCCTACCTTGCCCAGGCGCCGTCCCTCCACCTCCAGCACCTTCATCTTGGAGAAGTAGTGGTAGAAGGCCACCACATAGGTGATGATGGACTTCTCATCGGGGTTCTCCGTGAACACATCTGCCCGGTGCGAGTGAGAGGTGTCACTCCTGACCCAACCTCAACCCACTTCACAGGCCACCACAGCCTCATGAGGTCCCTCCTGTGCCCACCCAGGCCCTCCTTCCATGTATTGGGAACCTCTCTGTGCTCCAGGCTCTGGAGCCTTGGAATGTCACAGGAGAAACTGAGGCAGGAGGACTGGCAGCAATTGCCTCACCTTCGGGGTCAAGGAGAGGGGTGATGCCCAGGTGCCGCTCTGCCACGCTGAATGCATGCTCCAGGTTGTGCCGGGCATTGGATTTGGTAAGGTTTTGGAAGTCAACCAGCTCAGGCCTGGGGACAGAGGGCACGAGACAGTGGTGACACACCTGTGGGACATCTCTCAGTGCCACTGTCACCCAGTGCCTGCTGTTGTGCCACCTACCTGTGCCTGTGGATGAGGGCATTGAAGGCCAGCCCGTCTTTCCAGCTCGAGGTGAAGTTGGTGACATTCACATGGGGATACCTGCGATGGGGACAGGGTGTCACTGTCACTCTCTGGACACTCATAGACCCTGACACGGTCACGTGAGGGTCCCACCACCTACCCTGCTGTCTTCATCTGGCACCAGAGCAGCAGTGCATCCCTGGCAGAGCGTGTCTCTCGGCCCTCCTGTGTCTCCACGATGATGTCCTGGATCTGGGGGCCAAAGGACATTCTGGGGTTGGAAGTGCAGTTCCATGGAGGATGGCTCCCATCTGGGAATGAGGTGTGGAGCAGAGGGATGCCCCAAACCACCTGTCCTCACCTGGAAGCGGAGGATGATGGTCCAGATGAGGCCAAGAACAAGGCGGTGGTTGCCGTCCACGATATCGTGGGAACCCATGTTCTCCAGGTGCACCCGCTGCTCCTTCAGGAACTGCAGCGCCTTGTCCACATTCTCCAGGCAATGGATCCGCATCCGGCCCTTGGTGGGCTTGGGCTGGGGCATGACAGTGCTCAGCACGCTCCCTCCCACACCAGGCACCCCAAGCCCTGCCCAGGCACACCCCAACACCCATGCTGCCACCCCAACCCTTGGCCAACACCAAGAGAATGGTGTAGCATGCCATGGCAGGCCACAGGTCCCGGGGTCTCCAGCTGGATGGGATTCCTACCAGAAGCTCTCCTGACAGCACTTCCAGCAGCTTGATGAGCACCCGTCCATCCCGGAGGTCCATGTAGAGGTCTGAGATGCGGCAGGTGACACGAGCCAGGTGTGAGTTCACCCACTTGGTGAAGGTTTTCTTCTGCACGGCCTCCCGCTCGTCTGGAGGGACAGTGGGCATGGGGTCACCGACAGTGGGGACAACCAAGGTGGGACCGAGGGGACCTGCCACCCACCTGCCAGGGCTTTGATGCGGGAGCGCTCAAAGAGCCGCGCAGAGCTGTTGTCATTGTCCAGCTCATCGTCGGACGCGTCCCAGCGGACGTTGATGCGGCTGTACTGCTGCTGCAGCTCCAGCTGCTCATAGTCATTGGCCGAGGTCATGGTCCCAGTGTGCCCCGGCCCGGTGGCCGTCGGCTACCGGTGAGAGGCCCCTGGGGACAGTGGGACCGTGAGCATCAGTGCGGCCGCGGTGGCTCACTGGCCCTGCGGCACGTGGGGATTTGCGGCTCAGAGCCTCGGGATAAGCTGCTCAGAGGGATTTAGCCTCGCCCCACCCAGGTGTTGGGGGGGCACCTGGCAGCTGCCCTCTCCAGGACCACCGTGCTGAGCCCTGCCGAGCTCTGCTAATGGCTATTTACGGAGCTGAGTCCCCACCCAGGTCCCTCTGCTCAGCTGAAACCCCAGCCCAGGTCCCCAGAGGTGTCCCCCCCAATCCTTGGATGCCCCCAGGGAAGGGGCTGCTGCTCACTCCCACCCCGACCCCTGCACCGCACAGGGGCTTCACCAGCACTGGTGGCAGAAAGTGGGTGACAGCTGCCGGCAGGGGGGGGCACCCACCCCCGGGGACATTTGAGACACAGATAGGACATGGCTGGTATCTAAAAATGCCTCTGAGCAGCTGTCGGTGGCTGCTGGGGCCCCTGAGGGGTGCGAGGAGATGAGCTGGGGCTCCCTACAGCCAGCAGCATGTCCAGGACCTCTCCTGCAACCCAGAGCTGCCCAGAGCCCTCAGTAGTGGGTGCCAGGGGGAACCCTGTGTGCCCCAAATCCCTGCTGTCCCCGTGAGCTGTGACAACCCATGGGCCCCCAGGTCCCCCTCAGATGCCCCGGGCATCCCCCATGTCCCCCCTGGCAGGGTTATCGGGGTGGCCCAGGCTGTGCCACACCCCAACTCTGCACCCTAATCGGGGCACCACAGGCAGGGCCTTGGCTTGGACCTGGAGGCACCGGGAACGTGCAAGGACATGGAGGAGCGTGCAGGAGTGTGGGCAGCACAGCAAGGACACTCGGGAGCACACCAGAGTGTGCAAGTGCGAGGAAGGGCACGGAGAAGGGTGGCAGAGTGTGTACCTGTGAGCCAGGACACGCAGGGACTTGTCACAGCATCCACATGTGAACGAGGGCATACAGAAGTGTGACAGAGTGTGCCTGTGAGCAAGGACACACAGGGACATGCCAGAGTGTGCACAGGTGAACAAGGACAAGTAGAAATGTGCCAGAATTTGTATGCCAGAGCAAGGACATGCAGGAACACACCAGAGTGTGCATGGGACACACACGACAGGCACTCGCGTGGGTGCAGGGCCATGCAGATGTGTACCAGAGCAGGCAGGAGGGCAGCCCCTCATGCCATGACTCTGTGCCTCTGCCAGAGCACCCAGCTCACCCTGGCAGGAAAGCCTTCTGGGATTTTGGGGACAAATCTGGGGATTTTGTCCCCAAAACTTCAGGGACTGCCAGCAGTTTGGGTGTGCTAAGTTGTGTCTGGTCTCTGCAGGAGAGACCAGTTCTGACGGTGCCCCTGACAACACGGCAGCGGGGCCATGGCTGCGAGCATCCAAGGAAGAGAAAGAGGAGGAGGAGGAGGAAGAGGAGGAGGAGATGACGCCGAAGGGAGCCACATCAGGCCCATGGGAGCATTCCGAGCGCGGGCGCTCACCCACCCTTTAAATCTCCCTCCGCCACACCGGCGCCTTCCGAGCATCCCTCTCTGCCACAGCCACGCCGCCACCAGCGCCCGCCACCCGGGAATTGTCATTCCTGCCGCTCAGCGTGCGGAAAGCTGGGAATGCCAGCATGCCGGCCTCGCCGCCAGCATCCTGCGGCCGTGGCCCGGGCAGCGTCGCCTTCCCCGGCCAGCGGCTCGCCTCGGTGAATCAGCACTTCCCGGTGAGGGGCTGGCATCGTGCCACCACCACGGTCCCCCCGCCGGGCATAGGGAATGTCCCCCCACACCCCAAGGGCGGCCGGGGCAGCGTTTGGCACCTGGCACTTATGGCACCCTCAAACCCATTCCCTGGCTCAACCCTCACAGCCACAGCATGTTGCCAGCAAGCCCATTTCCAGTGCACAGAAGAAACTCATCAGAATAGCCCAAAACACCAAAACACCCCAAATTTTTGCCCCATCACTGCCACCCAGAGCCTGGTGTGTCCCCATTGCTCCACTCCACCAAAACACTTGGATTTGGCATCTCCCCCACGTCCACAAGCAGCCCTGCTCCGGTTGGGAAGGGGCAGGAGCCGGGGGGCATCCCCCAGCCCCCCAGCAGCCCCCTGCCTGCCGGGCGCGGGGCCAGGCCCGGGAGCAGATGGTCCCTCTCGGCACGGCCGCGCGGCACAGCACGGGGCACCCGGGCATGGAAAGGCACGGCACGGCTCCTCCGGCAGCGCTGCCCTGCCCCGGCCAGGGCTCCCCGGCCACACTCCCACCCGCCAGCAGAATTTGGGCTTCCCCAGGGCCACATGCCGGCTGTGCCAGGACTGTCCCATGTCACCCAAGCCGGTGACACGCACACGTGCTGACACTCCACAGACATTTTTGGCTATAAATAGGCCTCCCCTGCGCACGGCGCTAGCTGAGCCCCGCTCCCTTCTTGGGAGCTGCCCCCCCCTGCACCCCAAAACCACCAGACAGTGCCCCAAAACCACATGACAGCTATCAAATAACCCGTGGGGGGCCATGCTGGCGTGCAGCAGGGTTTTCTGGGTCTCCTGTGCTTGCCACTGTATTCCAGGGCACCCCAATCCCCTGGTTTGGGACCTGGAGATTTATAAAGGGAAAAGGTGGGAAATGAGGCCTGGGGGACCCCTGGATCATTGGGGTGAGGCTAAGAATTCCCCCAGCCCAATGCCCACTCGTGAGCATCCTCCTGGCACAGGACAAGGGGGACCAAGGGCATGGCCCCCCAAAAACCCTTCCCAGTAACCCTCCAATTAGCCCAGTTGCTAAAAACTGGGGGACAAAGCAGGTTGGGTGATGTGTCCCACCAAGACCCTCAGGACTCGGCTTTTCCACCGTGTCCCAACAGTGCTGGGAGCACCAAGGACTAGTGTGGGGAGCCCTCCAGGGGTTGGCACCCCAGAAAAAGTGTCCCCAGGGTGTCCCCACACTGTCCCCGGGCTGTCCACAGGGTGTCCCTAGAAAGTCACCG